TAGTACTCCTGACCTGGATATTTTGCTCAACAAAGGGTTTAAAATAACCAAAAATGGAACAGTGGAGCCTTCAGTGGACAAGCTAATGCCTTTCTTAAGCTCCTAAATATTAAACCTGAATCATCACTATGGGCTTTCAGTTGTAATGCATGAGGGACCCTGAAATATGCTGAGTGCCCAAGCTGTAGAAACTGTAAAGTGTGATGGTTACTTGAAACAGAGCCCACCTCTGTCCTGCTTTTAAATAACATGATTTTCAGAAAAATGAATGTAGTTGGGGAAGAATTAACAGTCATCATAACTTCAGTTTATAAAAGTCTATTGTCCATATTTCAGTGGCCAAATTCTCTAATTTTTTTTTTTTAATTATGGGATTATTTTTTTCTAAAGTTCAATCCTATGTGAATGTATTAACTTCAGTGTTATTTTAGGGAAAAAAAATAAAATTGCTCATGAATTGGTGGAATAAACTGTGGTTTTCTGGACTCTGCATTATAGGAAGCTACCATTTATTGCCTTTATTCTGTGATCTTTGTGAGAAACTGGTCCAGTCTATATATGAACAATTGATTTCTCCCACTGCTACTGCCTACTCTACACTTTTTCCCTAATCACATGTTACATTTCCTGGTAACTATCATATTCATGATCAGAAATATACAACAAATATAGCTTTTTCTACAATAAAACATGGGATTTGCACCGAGAAAGTATTTCCTGTACTATTGCTATACTGTTACGCTTTATGTTATCCTCCATCTATATTGCCAGTCCTCCACCTGCATGTCTGACTTTTTCCACTTCTGTAAAATTGGATACAGGCAACAGTGGGCTGCCAGGGAACGTACCATGGAGAACATAGTTTTCTGCAGAATAAGAAGTTCTGGAGGCTAAATTCAGCCCTTATGTCATTGTTACCAACATACTGGTACTGTCACCACTAATGGCTTCTTCCCTGGACTTTCAAATAAGCTATCCAACTATCTAGGGGGATCTTCCTTTTCACTCAGCAGGATGGTCCCCCTGGACATCTGTCCTCCATGATAAAATCCCCCACTGTCATCATCTGCTTTTTTCTGTCATTTGAGATCCTGTTGTCACTGTGAGGAGCCTCGGTGTTATCATCTGAAGAACAGGTCAAATTGTTCATCCATCCTTCCATCCTTCCTTCCCAGGACTTTTCCCTGTGCAAGCTCCTTGGCAGGAGTGAAGAGACCAACTAAGAACCTCATTCACGCTCTCCTTGCGTATCTTTTTGCCCTTTTTGAGCAAAACTGTGTTGCAAGCAACCCTGCTTTCTGCCTCTGCTGTATTACAACTTGGTCTTACCAAAGAATTTTGTCCACTTGGATGCAAGTATTAATTTTTTAGCTAAAGCTGTAATATCAGTCACAATGTTATTTATTTTAGGTCAACCTGGTCTCTTATTAATAACTCGGATGAACAGTTTAGACTAGGTGGGGCATTTTTTTGCCCAAAATAAAGTCAGATCCCTGTTAGAAGTGTACAAAAATACCTAATGTATGTTACTGTTTTTGCGGGTTGGTGAGATGACACTGAGACAGACCTATCACAATTTTCTTAAGACCAGTATTTTATTTACTTGCAGGGTATTTAAGATACTAGGTTTTTATTCATAGCTTTTGTATTGAAGTTTCCTAAGAAAGCAACTTGATGTATTTTTTGAATCCTAATCTAAGTTCTTGTTCTTTTTAAAGGAGTTCCTACAGTGGGAACCACAGCAATCAAGGAGGAAATTACTCTTATAACAGATACAGATTCTGTGCATGCTGAAGGTGCTGTTGAAACAAATGAAAACTTTCACCAAAAAGAACAAAAACAAACGTTGCAGTCCCTTTTCTCTTTGCTCCGGGAAGAGGTTGAGCAGATGGATTCAAAGACACTGCCCCTGTGTCTCCATCAGGTACTTTCTTTGTTTCTCGGGTGTTGCAACAAATTTGCTTTTATCTGAGGCCTTTATTCATTAGGAAAAGAATACATTAATTCAACATACACCACTATTCATACCTGGACAGGATATTTTGATGTATAACTGGTGATCAAGACCAATATATCCTCTAAGATTTTTCTAATATATGTAAAATTATAAATTGCCTTGAAACTATATTCTGCAATTAAAGGAAACTCTTAAGGATGGTTTTTCTAATTTTCCAAATGATAAAATTCTAGCTTGACAGGAAGATTTAGGAAAATCACTCTTCATCAACACATCTTACATATGATTTGTAAGACATAAGATTTGTATAGATACAAGACAGCTGATGTGTAAATAACATTTTAAATCTGGAATTATTTTTACTGTTCCGAACTTCTTCCAAGCAGTAATGTAATGCATGAATGCTAAGATTCACAGTTTCTTAGTGTATGTTTTTTAATAGCATAGTTGCCATACCTGCAAGACCAAAGGAAATACCATGTGATTTGAAAAGCAATCTGTTTTTTTCTAGAGATTACGATGCAAGATGAATAAATGGATAGGACTTGATGCAGTATTAATTTACAGTTTAGTTGTGTCAGACTAACAGTGGACTAGAAGACTTTTTGTTTGTCTATAGTGTCTAATATAGGCTATATATATGTAGTTACTATAAAGTGTCTGATTTGATGTAGTTGAATTATCTTTATTGTGGAAAATTGGGTGACTGATATTTTAAACTTCTAAACTGTGATGACACCTCTGCATTGTTATTCTCTGATATAAATCAGCAATTGTATTTGAGAAATAAGCTTCTCTTTAATAATGCAAATTATAGATCATTTGCATCTTTTTTTTTTTTTTTTTTTTTTTAGAAAACTAAAAAAATCAAAGCATTAGTTGGTGCAAAAAAATAGGAAAAAACCCCCCATTTATCAGAAAAGTTCAAAAAAACATTTTGGACAATTCTTTTTTGTGGCTCTCTGGGGTCAGGGTTTTGATTGTTGGAGAATTTCCCAGGTGCAGGGTGGAACTTGTGCTTGATGCAGTGGTGGAATTTAAATCAGTTTTTTTTTTTTTTTTTTTTTTTATCTGTGTTTGAGTGAAGATATTTCATATCATTCCTCAATCTATTTGAAACTTAGCATTAGGGTTAACCATTTGTACTTTTAGCTACACCAGATCTGGTGGTCATTTGTGAGTCAGTACAAAAATCTGTTTTGGAAAACAACACAGGGCAAAACTTCAAAACACTTTACAAACATTAAGGATTGTCATCAGTCATGACATGTGAATTCTGTTTGATGCTTTTTAGATGAGGAAGCCAAACCCTTAGGGTAACAACCTTTAACAACCTTTTGCAAGTCATACAGGAACTGTGACAAAACTGAGAACAGACTCTGTATTTCCAGGTTCAAACATGCAGTCAAACACCATCTCTTTTTTCCTAAGAAATATCAAGGGATTTGTAATGGAGTGTTTGAAAGAAACCTAACAAGACTTACAAGGATAATAACACACTTTTTAATCTGGGGAAAAAACTGAACAATTTTAAAGATAGCGTTCATGTTTTTCATGTAAAGTGGTTCTATTAAGAATTTATTTTTTTCCTTTTCCAGTGAATTAAACTGTAATCTTCAGGGTTTTTTTTTCAGATTGCTAATACAGCCCGCCAATCACTTAATTTTATGCTAAGTCTAGCAAATACTCTTCTATCACATTTTCTTTTTATTCTATGTGACAAGATTCAATGTAAAATAAAGAGCTGTGTGAGATGTTCTGGAGTATTACCAATCCGCATTGTTAGTAGGATATATTAAATATTTAAAGGCTGTGGGTTGTTAGGGGCTGTTCTAAGGGTTAACTTTTAATTAAAAATAGGATGTAAATTTTTTCCTGTCTTGAATGGGATTCATGTGATTTGTGTAGCAGTTGTTACAGAAACTGAGCAGTACTTACATATAAAACAAAGATACAGAGCTTTGGCAGCTCCAGAAATCCTTAGGAGGTTCCTGTGGATAGCGGACAAAACGTGCAAATAAAGAACCTTAGAAGTCACTTACCAATTCTCTTTTGGAGGTACTGGGCTTAGAATGGTCTAGTGGTTAGTAATAAGGCTGAGAGCCAGGAATACGCAACTCACAATATGGTCTCTTCCATCAAGCTGCTGTCTTTTTTGAGCAATTGTCTTTAGACTCTTACTAAAGTGACCGCTTGTTAAGCCTTTCAAATTATGAGCACCTAAATTGATAGGCCCCAAAGATTTTGCGACTGAATAGTTTGTGTGATCCCACTGAAGGCATTGGAGGTGTTTCAACCTGAGTGTTCAAGCATCAGGGTATCGGCAATTACTGGACACATTTTGCAAGCGTGGCCCTTGCCACATCGTACGTAGCAAATAGGAAGACTGCCAACATTCACTGTCCCTGAAGACTGGTTAGTTAGTGCTTGTAAAGGTCACTGATACTGTAGAGTTCTGTAGAACAAAATATTTTTACTTCTGAGGTTTATAATTTTTGGACCTTATTGTGTTTACAAGCAAAGCCATCAGTATTCCGTAGCTTTCTAGGAAAGCCTGTCCAGTCTTCTAGGAAACACAAGTTTTTGTCGTTGTAAAGCTCAAAGCTTATTTGTCAACAGGGAGGAATTAGCGGAAAAATGTTTTGGTTACCACGTTAGCTCTTCTATACAGTGTTACACCTTTTCCTTTCCAGTTATCAGCTCTATTTTTTCTATAACACTCCCCACCACTAACTCAAAGTGAAATTCTGATTGGAAACATACTCATTTTTTGACTGTATTTGGATACTTGGTTTTGGGATCCCGTGTTCCATTCCTAGCAATTGGCTGAAACAGCAGCTGTTACAGCAGCATTTAATGTCTGACTTAGGTATTTTATATGTAGTCTGTCTTATGTTTGATTTTTCCTGGTCCTCAGTAACTACTTGAGAAACTTTTGTTCTCTATATTAAAGCTCCTTAGCACTTTGATCCCTAAATGCAACAGGTAAAGTTTGCTTATTTCATATGTCAACTCCCTGGTATTTCTTTGTTTTGACTTACCTGTATTAACTCAATAGCCATCTAAGAGGAGTCTTGAAGAACTGTGATTTTAGCAGTTTTTGTCAATGGTTGTCTTTGGCAGAGCTGTCTTGTTACAAATCCAATTTTAATTGTTCTGTTAGAGAAATATAAGGAGACATAAGGAGAAAAAGCCTTAGATTTGTTCCACGCCATAAAAACGACACTGCAAATCAAAAAACTGCCATCTGGCTTAACTCTATTACTTGTTCTTTTGTTGAAGAACTTCAGATACCAAGAACTGACATGAGGCAGGGGATCTTTAAATTTCTTTAACACAGAAGAGCAGCTCCAGGAAAGGAAGTAGCAGAAGGCTGCTGCAATGGTATTGTCTGGCTTCTGTGGGTGCATTATGAGTAATACAGGAAAAAAAAAGAGAATTTGAGTCCTTTTATGTTTATCTCATTAATTCCAAATATTCATATTGTAAATATTTCAAATTCTATGTATTTGAAATATTTATTGCAATTATTTATTGTAAATATTTATTAAAAACAGGAAGGTCGTTGGCATGTGTCTGATGCTGCGATAGGTGATATTTTTAGTGTCTTTTATCCAAAGATCATTCTTTTCTCACCAGTCAGGAAACCTCTGTTTCTCCATTTTATCACACTGTACTGTAATGCTTGGGAGAGCTCAGTAATGATCTTAATTTGGTCAAAATTCAGAATTCAAACAGAATTCAAACTCTTCAGCTCATATCAGTAAACATGATACTTCTGTTCTAGGTGATTTTAAAACTTTCTAATATGATCATCAAAAAAGTTTCTGAAATAAATGTTTGTTGTTGTTACAAGATAAAACCCAACTAGCATTTGGGTAAATCCATTTGTGAGAAAGGACTTCATATTTCTTTGTTGTTTGATATTCTTTTTAACTATCTTTCCTAGAATAAGAATACATGCATTTAGACCGAAGATTTGCATTTTGTTCAATTTAAATATGAACCTGCAAAACAAATGTTTAAAACTGTAATTAAAAGTTCATACTGTATCCTTAACAGTCTCATGACAATTACAGAATCCTAGTTTTTTACTTTTTTTTTTTTTTTTTTTACTTTTGCAGATAGCTGAGACCTATTTTCAAGAGGAGGAATGTATCCTTTTACTTGGAAAAAATGTTATGCAATATTAAAATAATCTGGCATGATAAAACATAAAAGACAAATGCTTTACTGTTGACTGACAGATTGTGGATCAGAGTTAGAAAGAAGCAAACAGCAGTAATTTATCCATGATAAAATATGTTAGCAAGTCTTTCTTAAATCAGACAGCTGGAATATGAGTTAAGGAATAAATCCACTTCCAAAAGCTGTACTGATATGATCATTAGTAGTTGTGCACATGCAAGGAAGTAAGAAAATATTTTCAAAGAACTTCTGTTTTTATAGGAAAAGTTCTGGTTTAAGTATTAGTAAATGGGAATATGTCCAATCTAGATAGGGTATGTGTTCTATTATATCAAATAGGGCACTATTATAGTGAGAACAAAATTATCACAACAGTTGATTAGAATAGGTACTACAAGTTACTAGATTAGAATAAAAATACCAAACACCCTGAGCTAAGGGAGATCAGCAACCTGCAAACAATAACAACATGTTCTTTGGCAAATGCTGATTAGTCAAAATTGTATCAAGGTAGTTTGAGAAACTCTCGTAGGAAACTATGGGTGATTGCTTCTGGGAACAGCTAGTTCAGTGGTCCAGGTTATTTTGATTTGTTACTAGATAAATAGAAGTAAGTTTGGTCAAAAGATCATAATAGCTGAACTGATGCTAATTACTGTGGTAAATTTCAGTAATTGAAGGAGAGGATAATCATATTAAACCTTAAAGTGAAATTATATTTTTAGAAAAGGTGGACTGGGTTTTCCTCTGTTTGCTTTTAAAGGAAAATTATCAGACTATAAAAAGAAGAGGCAGGAGTGGTAAGCCCTGAAGGTCTATGTGATTCACTAACGTGCGTTCTAAGTTACAAAACCTGTGCATACAGATTATATCTTTATTATGTAATTTGTTACAAACAAAATACAGCAAAAAGGTAATTATAATGGTTAAATAACAAAGCACAAGAAACCTGGAAACCTAGCCAAATTACATTACCCTGTAGTAGAAAACCAGGGAAATAATTGTCGCAATATTATAAAAGCAATGTGTAAAATAAAATATCCTTCACTGTCTTAGAAGATTGTACTTCTGTTTTGCTCATCCTAATTCAAAAGCTTCCATCGGAAGATCCAAAATACACAGCACAAATTAAAGGAATGGAGAAATTCTGTAGTAAATTATATGGCTCTGCAGGGGGAAATACAGTAAATGTAAAATGCATTCAACAGTGTGATAGAAAGACAGTTGTTTGTCTTTCATAGCAGTTGCTTTAATCGAAGTGCACTGCATTTAAAGCTGATCAAAGGAAATACTTTTATTGCAGTGTAGACCTGATGTGTGGAATTCAACACCACTATATAATACATATTTATGAAGCATATCTCCTCTGTACTTGCAACCATCAGTTTCCTGATGTTAATAAAGAACTTGCTTGATCATGTTGCACTATATTAATTATCCATGGCAGGCATTTTAATTCATCCAGCGTAGAACTTCATATTCACAATAATTCATGGTTTGTTGCTGTGATCCTCTAGGGCTATCCCTCTGATCTGTAATTCTGCCTCTAATAACAGATTTCTTGAAGGCAGAGAATATTCTTTCCATTAATGTAATTGCATGAGGCTAACAAGAATAACAAGTACTGGTTGTGTTTTTGTAATAATTACTCCAGTATTTTAATTAGCATGAATAATAGAAAATAATTTATCTATATTACTAAGAACCTCATTCATTGTATTTCCATTCTCATTATACTGTAGAATTAGATTTCAAATAGCTGACAAAGTGTGGTTTTAAACAGAACAAGTAACAACTCGTGCTTAATGGAACTAGAATTATCCTGACTATTAGAAAATATTAACTATCAGTATACCTTTGTGAATATATTGATTACTCTAAGGTGAAAGGTTTTCCATATAGAAGAAAAGTAAGCAGAATCTTCAGAACGAAGACAAAAGGTGAACTCAGCTGTCCAACAGCATTGCACACAATAATTGAAAAAGGAGGAGGGTATTTTTTGAAAGTTTGTTGGGGAAATTTTTTAAATGTGCTATCTCCAGATGGGTAGTAGAAAGGAGCTGTATTTTGAGTTAGTTATGGCTATTGACATATAATTGTATTTCTCGAGATGTGTATTCATATTTGTATAATTACCCTTTCAAATATGGCGCCAAATGTAAATAGATCATAACGTGCCCATATATATATGAATTTTTCTTTAACCTTCCATTCAGATGAGAAGGCAATGAAGTTCATTCAGCTTGAAAAACTGTATCATGAACAGCTGCTTGCAAATCTTTCTTCCATACAGGAGCAGTGGGGTGAGTACAGACTAAACTAACATGGTAGAAGAAAGATTTGATTTGGTTTGTGTTTCTGAATAATAGAATATACGTTTTTCGGGCTTAAAAATGTTACATCACAAAAGCAGCATTTATATCAGAATTTCTCTGAGCTTGTTACAAGAAAAGTATTCCTGCTTTGGATTTCTTCTCACACATCTAATGAAACAGGTACAAATAGTTTGTCATTATTTATTATATTAATTGAGACTTTGATCCACAGTTGATTTGGACTAATTTTTTGTTTAGGGTTGGTGAATCTGATGTGATGAAAATAAAATGTGTTGTGAAAAAACACATTGCTTTTTTGCATAGTCTGAAACAAGGTTGTAGAGCTTACACAGAAGAGTTTCACATACATGTTTTAGGATAAATACTTCTTTTATAATACTATGTGTAAAAATTATTTTGATTTAATTTAGAAAGAAAATGGAAAACAGCAGTTCATAGTCCAGTTACAACACTGAGGAATTCAGCTAAAGAACTGAGTGGTGAAGAGTTGGAAAAGCTTACTAGAGTTTGCTCTTCGCATCAACAGTAAGTATAAGAATATATTATTACCCTTCCAGTACAGTTAGCACAACTGTTGTCTACTTGCCAGTAGAGGTGTTTCAAAATAGTTGATCTCAAAATGAAAGTTCCATCCGGTTGACTTCAGGGAATTTGGTTATAAAGTGGTGATTCTTTTGGATAAGTAACTAAAATGTTTCCATGTTTTAATGTGGTTTGAGGAAAGGACTAGATCTGTGCTGTTTTCAGCAAATCATTACTTTGCCAGAAATAGAGTTTTGAGTCAATTTATAAGTATTTTCATCGAAAGTGAAAACTGAGTAGTGTTAATTTAGGAAGAGAGAGACTATAGAACTGATGGTGGTGATTGCATCTGTACCTATTGTTTTAATAATTGTTTTAAAATGCAATTGCCCAAGATCTCAGACTCCAACAGTCACATCTACCTTATAAGATCTTATTCCCAAACTTTCCATGTTTTAGGATAATTCCCTAATGCTTCAAGTCATTCTTGTTATCTTCTGTTGATTCCATATAGGTTGCATAAACACTATGAAGCAACGATTCTGTAGTTCCCTAGTACTAGTGGCAGCGTTCTGAAAGGTGGTGAAATCTTAGTTCATACCTGCTTTGCCTGATGTGTCAGCCTCCTGAATCAGTATATCACAGTATCACTAACTTTTGGGCAGCACTTAGGATGCTCTTCTGGACAGATACATGTAGGGGATTATAACCATCAGGAAGGAGAAGATCTGTTATTTCATCAGTGAGTGTCCTACCTGCTAGACATTGAGTTTAAGGGACAGATAGAAAAACTTCTATCAGCTGCCACTGAAAAATGATGAGCCAACAATAATAAGGAAACAAACCACATTCAAAGGCTGTGAAAAGACCAACTTGTGATAGGGAAGACACTTGCAATCAGATGGGGAGGGAGAATTTTTCAAATACATTTGCATTGGCTTAGTCTGGATGCAACAAAAGCCAAAATGATGCTGCTGTTTATAGAGAATATAATTGGGCGTCCACATTGTTTTTTTTCTTCTGAGCGACCATACAGAAGTTTGAAAACCCCCAGGCTGGCTGCCAGAACCCAGGCAGGAATTGTTTATTTGTAACGTGACTGTGTTTGGG